GAGTCCTCTCCTGGATCAGAGCCCTCAGTACCGGACCACAGTGAGGAGGAGCAGGAGGCCTCCAGCTGTGTGAGGGAGCCAGAGACCACAGAGACCACAGAGACCACAGAGACCACAGCGCCAGCAGACGCCAGACACAGGTCAGCAGGTCCAGAGTTGTGAAAACAAAACAAGCTACTTGTTTACACTAACTGTTTACACCAACTGTTTACTTTCGTCTTTGAGCCCCACTGTCACCACAAGGGGGCATTTAAACACCACAGCATGCAAACGTATTGTCTATTGCACACCTTGTTCTTTCTTATTGTGGGTTTTGTATTTGTACAACTAAATATATATTTGATGGTATAAAGTGAGAGTGGTGCATTTAATCATTTCATAATATGAGTTTGAGATGGACTCAAATATGTATATATGTTCATTTAATTCATTTCTTATTTGAACAGTTACTTACCTGTATATAATTATATTTGTAATTGTATCTTTACTGTCCTGTTTTTCAATCTCACGCTGTTGCTGCTTAAACTCCTGACTTTCCCCAAAGGGGTTAATAAAGGTCTATCTTAAATAAAACAGTTTTCACTTATTGAGGAATAAAAGTACTAAAGATGTCTTCTCTTCCCAGCTTAAATTCCGATCAGGATGCAGAGGCAGATCCTGAATGCTCAAAGGAGGTCCCTTCCTTGGAGAACTTTGAACAGGATATTGAGGAGGAAACGTTGCTGAAAGGACAAGATGAAAATGGAGATGTTCCCAAAGTGGAGGAGGAGGAGGAAGAAGATAAGATGAAGGTGGAAGATGCTCTGACAGAGGCTGAGACTCAGGCTGAGGAAGGTGCTGAGATCCAGGAGGTGACAGGAGAGGAGAAGCAGCTAGCAGAGAGCACAGCTGATGTGGAGGCTGAGGACGAGACCCCTGTCCCAGAGAAGGGGGACTCTGCTGGAGACGGCCTGGAGAACAGGTTTGGAATGACCTTTTCTTTACATGTGTCAAAGAGTCAACATCCCGTCATGTGTTCGGCTATTTGAACTGTTGAGTCAGAGTATCACTAATTCCGTAATTCTAAAACGAGATGTTGAAGTAAGACACAAAACAGGAAAGGAACTGTGTGGAAATGTAGACTCAGTATCACATGTTTCATTTGTAGCTTTAAAAATGTCTGACATCCTCCCCGAAGAAGTGGACGTGTGATATGTTGTCTTTCCTGTATGAGCATACCTGAATGGTAATGGTTCTTATGTGTTATCACTGCTTAGAAAATGTCACTCAGGAGCAAAGAGTGAGTTTGTTTGGGGCTATTTTCAGCTTTGGGCTTACACCAATTTGGTGCACTAGTATTCAAAGCAGCAGGACGGTGTATGTGGGATTAACTCCAAATAAACTACACTGAAATTAAGGAACATGTCACCCAGTGGGGGTCATTGGTGTGTTTGATAGCTTTGGAATACAATATGGCTCAAAAGATTAAGATATCAGACTCTTTTTTTTTTTAAACAAAAAAGTAGACATATTGGTTTATGTCTTTTCAAATAGATCATGGCCTCTCTTCAGGGATGCAAACTTGTCACCTTTCGGCGAAATTCGCCGTTTTGAATCCAAAATAGGTCGTTTGTGTGATTCATGTAGATCTGCAATAAAAATATTTTTGGGGTATGGGGGGGTCTGGGACCCGGAGTAATCTGCGGTCCGTGAGCTGTTATGTGCCATCATGACACGCATGGTGTTCTTTTTTTATATATTATAATGAAGTACGAGCTGTGTGCTCGAGTCTTCCTGCCTGTCGGCTCTGCTCATGGATGTATAATAAGGCTCTGCTGCTCCGAGATGATGGTCTAGCTTCAGCAGCTACATTACCTACGGGTGCGTTCGTTAATATTAACTGTGCGTCCGGAGTCACTGTGGCACAGACTGGACCGCTGGTGAACAGCTGTTAGAACGGGCCGTTCAGGTGTTCAGAGCAGAGCTCCCTGTCGGAGCGGCAGAGCGTGATGTGAACTGAAAAGTTTTTCTGTGGCAATATTATTTAAGGAATCGTTGAGCTAGCTAGCTAGCATACATTGTCACTATCTGCTAACGTTAGCTTTAGCCTTCTATTTCTAATAGTTTTCTTCATAGGCTATAAACAGAGGTGGTATAAGTATATATATATTGTACTTGAGTAAAAGTAGAAGTACTCAGATCTTGTCCTAGAATAAAAGTAGAAGTACTCAGATCTTGTACTTGAGTAAAAGTAGAAGTACTCAGATCTTGTACTTGAGTAAAAGTAGAAGCACATAGATCTTGTACTTGAGTAAAAGTAGAAGTACTCAGGTCTTGTACTTGAGTAAAAGTAGAAGCACACAGATCTTGTACTAGAGTAAAAGTAGAAGTACTCAGGTCTTGTACTTGAGTAAAAGTAGAAGTACTCAGATCTTGTACTTGAGTGAAAGTAATAGTCCCAGAGTGTAGGAATACTCTGTTACAGTAAAAGTCCTGCATTCAAAATGTTCCTCAAGTAAAAGTACAAAAGTATTATCATCAAAATATAGCGAAAGTAGCGACAGTAAAAGTAGTCATTGTGCAGATTGGTCCATTTCAGAATAATAGATATGATAGGTTTTATAATGATTGATCATGACATGATCAATCATTATAAAACCTATCATATCTATTATTCTGAAATGGACCAATCTGCACAATGACTACTTTTACTGTCGCTACTTTCGCTATATTTTGANTTTTGCCTCATAAGTTCAGTTATAAGTTAGCAAAATCAATCAAATGTAGGTAAATTATGCTTGTGAGTGTTGGCAGCTCATCCCTTAAAACAGAAGCCTCAGATTGATTATAATAAGGAAAAATAGGAAGGGTGTATTTCAAGCTTGTTATTTAAGGTCATTCGGTTTTTTTCTTATCAACTAAGATTTGTTAGAACATTTTCCAACTTGAATTGACTGAATTTATTTGAAAAGTGGTCCTATTAACACATGAATACTACTGTGTAATATATTTTTACTTTTATATTACCATTATCATTTTTGAATTTGCTGAGGGCCAATTAAAAATGGTCCGCGTGTCGCATTTGGCCCCCCGGGCCGTAGTTTGGACACTCCTGATTTAAATGTAATTCTGAGGCTTTTTTTTAGCTAGTGTTGAGCATCTTGAATTGTATTTGTAATATGATATAGAAAAAAAGCATCTTTCCTTCATCAACAGTATGTAATTATAAATCCTACTTATATAACAAACATGTCAACAGTATACTCTGGGAACTGTTTCTAGTTTTGCACAGCACGGTTTTTGAAAATCCAACTAATTTTTACTCACAATTTTATTTGAAATGTTTCAGTAGTTTTCATTGAATGATCTTCTTAAAACCAATTAATTCAAAAATATTTCAACAACTCTCATATGATTTCAAGAATTCTGCTGGATACTTAACTAAACATGATAAATCCACAAGTGAACTTACCCAAAGTTGCAACTTCCTACAGAGCAGCTCCTTGAGCAGAAACAAGATTCTGCTGAAGCACATGACATTATTGTTATTATTAATAAGCAACATACAGACATACGTTTGATACAAGAATAACCGGGCGGGCTCCACTCCATGCTTGATATCTAAAATTATACTTACAAAAACATTGAGTACACACAGCTGGATTTACAATGCGCTAAACACACTTATATAAATAACAACCTTGTTTAAAAATGATTGACATTCAAAAGAAAACCGCAGAGACTTCTATTATGGAAATCTGTGAGCAGTATTTGTAATTCTGAAATCCTAGGCTTTTAAAGAAATATAGTATGTGTCTAGGATTTTACACAGTGTACTTGTAGGTATGCACTCTATAGTAAACATCTGACTTGAGTTACAGCAGCAGAGGAAAGGCATGTCTGCTATTAAGGCCGTGTTAACAGTTACAATCACTACTGATGCACCCCCAGGCACTTAGCAGAGACACAAACAGTTCTCTGTTTTGACTGAACATAACTCTGGTTGTAGACTTGAGATTTTACACAATTGGATGTTTACACATGACATTAACTGTAAACAGAGCAAAGTAGCATATCTGTGTGTTTACATCAGCTATGAGTCATAGCTGATGTAAACACACAGATATGTAGCTTACTCATAGCCTATGAGTAAGCTACTTTAATGAAATGACTTTGCGTTAATGTGTTTTTAGTTATACTACTGTTTCCAAGATCTAAATTGAACTTTCTTGTTGAAGCAAAGGTTGGGTAACATATTTGAAACTTAAAAATGCCAATCTTTGACAGGTCAGATTAGTGACAGCATTTTATTTTTGTGTTGTTCACCAACATCAGAATCAGGTTTGATGCCAGGTTTTCACATACAAGAAATGTGTCTTGGTATTTTGGTACACAAAATAAAAAAACTACAACTGTACAGAAATATCAATTCCGTAGAAACATGTACTGTACGCAATGAAATAAATGTAAAATATGGAAAACATATCTGATTTAAAAATAAAAACAGCTTATTTGGCTACTTTGTGTACACAAATGTCCGATTCCACATCTCTGATTATGCTAGTCTTTGTTAATCACTTATCTATTGCACTTTGTAAAGACTTAAATAAAAGTAACTATTATTTTGGTTTTTTGGTTTGTTAGACTCACACAATAATACTCCCAACCCAGATAATGTGATGTAGAAGTACATAATATACTTTTTATAACCAAATATATCATATTATTTGCAAATTTCTTTAAAACGTTTTTTTATTAGGCATTAACATTCAACATTTTTTAAATGAGTTAAATTATACATGGCTTTGAAATTGGAAGAATGTTGCTTCTTTGTCCACTAGGGGTCAGTATTCAACTAGAAATGGTTTTATCAGTGTTTATTTGTGTATTCTATCTAATTTCTGTTCCCACAGAGGGGTACAATGTAAACATGAAACATTTTCCAAAAATGTCTTCATGCTTGAACCATTTTAATATTTTAGTGAGTTTGGGTTTGACATCATGTTAATCCAGCTGCACATTCTATTTTTGTACAAGGGACCAATTACATTTTTCAAAAATGTTGGAGTCTGACCAAGGCTGACACATCATGAATTAATATCCCCTCGAAATAATGTTTAGCCTGGTCACCTTGACCACCAGCTAAAGCAATAGTCAGAGAAACACTGTTCTTATGTTCATGCTGTACTGTAACCACCTATTATGCAGTCTTCTGTGTACAGGCAGTACACATAAAAACCAGGTTGAGACTTGCTGATGATGTCACGGCCGGGATGCCTGGCCCACGTGCGGGCATCAGTGTGTTCCAGACTCGGGGAGGGTCGACAACAACCAGGACTGCGTAGCACAGGCGCAGTCAGATGCGGAGCGAGTCAAATAATCCAACGATTGTCGGATTATCGCCTGTATCCAAACCTCTACCAGCCGATAGCGTGGGACGCTTCCTCTCTCAAATTCGGCGCTGTTTTCATCTCACCTTGCTTCTCCCACCCCCTTGATGATGATTTGCCAGGAAGATGCGCCTGTCTGAAATGTTCGTTGACCTTCGCCTCCGCTCAGCATCGAAGCATTGTGAAGCGCTGCCACAGGAGCGCCCCGGCTCCCGCCGCTGCCCCTAACCTCCCTGCATTGCTACAGATACCCGTGCTGTGACTCTTCTAGCCGCTCATCTTTCATTTTTTTATCAACCAAGACCGAGGCAGATGCCCCTCGCTCTATCATCCCGGATTTTACTATGGTGGAGTTTCCATCTCTCAGTCCTTACTGGCCTCTCATCCGCTTTCTGGTGCCTTTGGCTATCACCAATGTTGCCATCGACCTCGGAGAGCAGGTAATGTTTCTCATTTGATAGCGTTGTTTTTCCACTCATTAACAAAAAGGCAAGCTTTGTCGTCTGATAGCAGTGGCTAACGGTTTAAACGCTTTTTATACACCGCTGTGAGAATTGTGTTTGTGTGTGTCAACCTCTGCTGTTGCTGAGCAGCCTTTTTTAAGCTCCAGATAACACCGTGATAATGACAACCCTGGTGCTGTCAGTTAAAGACGGTTGGCTTGTGTTGTAGCTACAGTTAGCTTAGCTGACAGGCACCGTAAAGGCACCCATTAGGATAGATATACATTATTTAGGAGGAGGGTGAAGAGGAAGAGAGGGAGGGCCTGTGTTTATTCTGAGAAGATGTTTTGTCACCTCTGTCACCAAATGTATTGAGCTACTGCGGGTTTTCATTTATTAACCAGCCTGACCTAGACACGCACTACCTGCATGTGATTTGTTTGTCAAATTATTTATCAGGAAATCTCGGTCATGGCGGATCATGTACACGGATAAAACCTACAGGCATTTGATTTCCTTTTGATTGTCATTTCCTGCTTGGACACTTCCTGTCTTTCCTCAGACTGGTCTGGAGGCTGCCCTCTCCCAAGAGCAGATAGTGTGAGACACACATTGTGGCTTGCTCATGTCAGGATTAAGCTTATGTAATGTCTCTGTTAGCTGGTATAAATAGCACACACAGTCATGCAAAGGAAAAGGGCAGCTGTAGTAGTTGTTCCAAATGGAAACACTTCTGGAATATAGTGTGGGTGTTTCCTGTCCTGACATTATGTTGGCACTCACTGCTTTGCACTAGTCCAAGGTCTCACTTTTTATTGTGCCAGTAAAGCACATGCAGGTCTTCAGTTTGAATGGGATGGAGGGCCATCTGGTCAGAGATAAGGTTCGGCTAAGTCATGGTCATGTGGGCTGGTCACGCTGCCATACTGAACTTCTCTTTCCCCCTCCCTCATGTGCTGTCTCCTTGCCCGGAAACCTCACCCTCTCCAACCCATATTATACTTTCCAGGCCCTCAACAGGGGAATAGCCACCGTCAAAGAGGATGCCATTGAAATGCTGGCCAGCTACGGCCTGGCCTATTCCCTGATGAAGTTCTTCACTGGACCCATGAGCGACTTCAAGAATGTGGGTTTGGTGTTTGTCAACAGCAAGAGGGACCGGAGGAAGGCTGTGTTCTGCATGGTGACGGCCGGGGTCATCGCGTTCGTCCTGCACATCTTGATAGGTGTGTGTTTAAGGGTTGTTTGTGCAAGTCAGATGATATGCTGTGCTTGAACCGCATCCTGTAAAAGTTACGTTATCTGTGGAGTTCTAAAGTTTCATTACTGTATCAACCTCTGACAGCGTTTCTTCCTCTTTACTGCTCAAAACACTGACCTGTGGTTTCCTCTTTTTGTGTCTATAGCTTACACAGATTTAGGATACTATATCATTAATAAGCTCCACCATGTGGATGACTCTGTGGGCAACAAGACAAGAAAGGCTTTCCTTTACCTGGCAGCGTTCCCTCTGCTGGATGCAATGGTGAGTGTACAGTATTGCAGAATTATTTTTACATAATGCAGTCGTGGATTTAAACACCTGACCTACAGAAAGCTGTTTTTGAATCTCCTCTCCAGGCTGGTTTCAAGTGATAGGTGCATTCCCCGTGCTAAAGTCTCTCTTTCATTATGCTTTATAGCCTGTCATCCAGCTTGTGGTTGAGAAAATGCCCAACATAGAGCCTTTTGTTTTGAGTGTAAAGCTTGGTATCTTGGGATAACATCTCCTTCCATTGTTCTGTTTTGAAGGCGTGGATCCACGCAGGGATTCTTCTCAAGCACAAGTACAGCGTCATAGTGGGCTCAGCCTCCATCTCTGATGTTGTGGCCCAGGTAATGAGATCCATTCTTTTCTTTAATTCAGAACATTAAAAAGAGTTGAAGATTTTGATGATTTCTGATCACTGTTCTTCTCTGCAGATTGTGTTCGTGGCCATTCTCCTCCACAGTAACCTGGAATGTGTGGAGCCTCTACTCATCCCCATCCTCTCCCTGTACATGGGTGCCTTGGTCCGTTTCACCATTGTGGGTCTGGGTTACTACTGTAACATCCACGACAACATCCCAGAATCCAGTGGAATGGATGTGGGCGTAAGTGCTGTTTGCTGTTAGACATACGTTTTTGTATAAGTCTCCTTTAAGGATAACGAAAGAAAATTATGGAGAAGATACAAGCCTTTTTTTTTAATTCTAAAGAATAAAATAAGGATTTAGGCTTGTCTTTTCTAAAAACAACAGTGATTTATCTGCTTTGATCCCTGCAGGGCGATGCCACTATCAAAAAGATGCTGAGTTTCTGGTGGCCCCTGGCCCTCATCCTGGCCACTCAGCGTATCAGCCGACCCATCGTCAACCTCTTTGTGTCCCGCGACCTCAAGGGGACCTCTGAATCCACAGAGGTATTAGGAATTTAATTCACCAAACATATCTGAACTACTCTTCTAGAAAGCATTTTCCTGGCACCTCTTATCATGACATAGGGATAACTAAAGTGTACATAAAATCTGGATGCTATAACTAAAGCTGCCAAAAATTACTTAAACATAACACAAGCATAATTATACAGTGCTGGTGGACATCGTTAAGAACGAATTTACAGCATTGTGAAGCCACTGGGCTAATTTTCCCCTCAAGTTATTGCAGATGAAAAGCCAGATGCTTACACGCTCCCTCTGGAGCTTTCTGGCTTACAGAGACCCTAAACTAATGGAGACAACACAAAGCTGTTTACTAGAACGAACTGGAAGTCAACACAGGCTGTCAGTGGTTTGGGTGATTCACCACGTTCATGTGGAAGTCAGAGCATGATTACATTGAGTGAAAACATTCCTTCATGGCCCTACTGTTCCTGCGTAAAGCTGGACACTGCTCATTGTTTGGGACACAATGACCAGCTCAAGGCTGCTTTACAATCGTAGACTTGTTAGAAACCGTACACTGCTATTGTAAAACACCTGTCATTAATTTAGCTGTGTGTGCCGCATGTGGTATTCTCAACATTACAGTAGTGGTGCGATGATGACCTACACTGTCTTTGTCATTCCAGGCTGTGGCTGTCCTCACGGCCACATACCCAGTGGGTCACATGCCCTACGGATGGTTAACCGAACTCAGAGCAGTGTACCCTGCCTTTGACAAGGTAATCCACACTCCTATTACTAGTGTTTGCTGCAGTGGTAAAAGTTTATACCACTAATATTACTCTCTTATCAACAGAACAATCCCAGCAACAAGCTGGACGCTGGCTCCCCTGTCACCAAGTCGCACATTAAAAAGTTTACCTCCTGCTGTCTGGCTATATCATTCACGGTAAGATGAGATTTAATATTTTTCTGACACGTTATTAAACTTTCACAATATGTCACCAATGAGCTCAGCATGAATGTGCGGTGAACCGTTTGTTTTTACGGTCTGGATACAATCCCAAACATCTGACTGGAATATTTAAAGAAAACATTAGCAACAATTGTGATGTCTTTAGCTTTTTATGCAGATATCATTAGAAATGTTATTAGCAAAATTAGTGCTTTTTCATTTATAATATATTCTGATGATTTATTAACTCAATAAAAGTTGACAGCCCTTATAAAGTAACTGATATTATTACTTTGAAGAATTGCTGTCATCCTGGAAATTGATACAGCTACTATTAAGTTCAGTATTCATTTTCATAATAATCACTCCTGCACTTGCTGTGTATTTGTTTACTCTCATTGAAGTGTCCTTCAATGAGTCTTGTCCTACAGTAGGTGTCAGCTGTCCCACAGAGTGCCTTAAGTCATATTCAAACCGAGTCATTGTAATTTCAAAGATGTATTTAAGATTCCTTTTATTCCGCATAAACTGCATATTTTTCGACAGCAGATTTATTATAGATAGTTATTTTGGGGTTGTAAATCTATTTCTGCACGTGTTGATGAAAAAGTAAAAACACGCGCCCACAGGCAGAACGCTCTGCCTGACACACAACACCTCTGCTATGATTACCTTTGCATGTACTGTAGGTCAGGGTTCAGAGCAAAGACTGGCAGAACCAGTGCAGTGTTATGCACAAACATGTTTGACACATTTTTGAAAACATTTCCAAAGGCAGTGCTGTCAACGTTTTTTTTACGAGATACTGAACGTGACCTATTTCAGAAACTAAGACACATTTAGGAGTTCTTAGAAAAGAGCTTCAAGGTATTCGTCCTGCTTCAGCTGTACACTAATTTTCAAAGTAATGGGGGTCCCTAGCTCAGCTGCAGGCGTACTAAATGTACTTTTCTTTTTCCATCCTGTCGTGGTTTCAGGTTGCTGAGAGAGGGAGACACATTAGGATGGTATTTATGAAGAGGCTAAGGGGGCTTTTGTTCCCATGGCTACACTCCCACCGAAGCTTTAAAAGCTTAATAAAAAGACATTCACTTAAAACATGAGTTAACACATTTCAAAAGCCCCTCGCAGGTGAACTTTTTCGGTTAAAGAATGATTGCTGCAGTCACACGCTGTTGCTTTGTTGCAAAAAGTTTAGATAATTATGCCAGCAGATTGACAAAAACACTGTATTATCTAGGTGTTTTCTAGTCAATGATAATACAAAAACAATATTTTTTGTTTAGAAAAAGGAGACTTTGTCCCAGTTTTCGTAGCAACCCGAATAAGAAAAACAGGAAGTTTGTGGCCAAGGTTGGGTCTTTAAGGAGGAGGAGTAGGAGTGTGGCTCGCCAGATGTGGAATCCCAGTGCTATAAACATCCATGTGAGGGTGTGTTTGCTTGACACAGCGGAACAGGCAGATAGATATTATCGTATCGTTGTTGAAAACACAAGCAGACAGCCGTCAAGCCAGAACTTGTTCTGATTATACATGGAAAAGAGAAAACACAATGTACAACAGCAGAAGCAGGCGCAGTGTATTTAAGAAAGCAACTGACTAATGTTCTACAAAAAAACCGTCATCATATGAAAACAGACTGTCTCTAGGATGTCGAAGCAGTGAGTGTGGATGTATCACCTTGTTTATAGAAACCGCAGCTGAGTCAGGGGAGACGGTGGTTTCACTAGAGCCAAACTAATTAGTTATGTGGCTCCATCTTGCTAAAATAATGATAGATGGTAAGGTGATACCAAATGAAATCATCAGTTACAAGTTCATTTATATTGGTTCAAGGGATCAAAAACCACAACACCACCTCTTAAAGGCTTTTGCTCAATTAATTATTTCCCGATTTTGGGAGATGTCTTCTTTCACTTAATTAATTTGTCCATGAAGTATCACTTAGTGCCAGCAGCATAAGGTTATATAAGCAGAAGCGTTTGTCTAAATCGAGTACAATAAATCGCGACGGGATAATACAATTTTAAACCACTATGTTGAAAGCAACATTCAATCGTCTTTCTTTTTGAGAAATCCTTGAGTTGGAATGAGATTTGGTTTTCAAGGTGTATATTAAAAAACAAGGGAACCAAGCACAGATCCCTGCGGTACCCCAGTGTAAAGAAACTGATGCTCTGACTCGTTCCTTGCCAAACTACTTTAAGCAATCCCTGTGAAAACTAAGCTCTTTGAGAAAGGACATTAACCAGAGCATTGCTGTACTCGAGATTGGGTGGACAGGATGATTTTGTGGTTCTTTGTCAAAGGCCAACGGCAGTTCCAGCTAAATGAGGCCTCAGCGTTTAATCACTAACAGCAGTGAAGAAGAAGTGGAAATCATATTGGTTTAATTCAAGTAGATTGTTTTGAGGAAGGAAATCTAAACCTGAGACTTACTTTAAAACTGTGTGTATGTGAGGCAGTAGCGAGACCTGCATGAAGATTTTAACTTGAGGTCAGTTCAGGATTGTCTTGTTCAACCTGCTTAAACAACAACAAGGCTTGGGGCCTGCTTAAACACTGTGGAATGTACCTGGAGCTCAGGGTTCAGTGATGGGAGAAAAACAATGGCCAATGCCAGACTCCTCAACACAATTGTTGTCCTGTTGGAGACAAAATAACAATAAAAGACTTTTGATGAGGATAGCTGATTGCATGTTATTCAAATAAGGAACACTTTTAACAGTGGAATATGTAGATTTAAAAAAAATGAGAGAGCCTGTCTCACATCCTTGCATTGATGCCCGAGCAGCATGATTGGTGGAAAGCGCAGATGGAGAAGCAGACTTTTGGACGCATCTAGGTTTCAGTGGGCTAGAGTGTATAATATGTGACTGGCTAGCAAAGACAGGGATCACATCAACTTTATTGACAGCAGGCTGACAGTAAGTGAGGAATTCTGGAAAGTTTATCAGTATTTTTGGTTTTCTGCACGGATGTGAGATTTGTGTTGGCCTTGAATGACACAAACAGTCTGGGAAAACGCCTTAATCTTAATTTGGAGTGCTGAGAAAATATGTTGAAGCTATTTTAAACAAATTGACAAGATCAGACACGGTTATATTTCTGTTTTACACTCCCTAAAATGTTCATAATACACTAAAAGCTCTGAGATGCTTTGGTAATTCTGCATGTGCCTCCGCTCCTGCTTCTGGAAACAATAGCATTGTCTGTTATGTGTTCGCTCCCTCTCTTGTTTTATGTGGGCTTCAAAGGCCCACATTCAATCTGATACCTCTTGAGTTAATGAACCGATGCAATCTAATGAGGCATGCCGGGCGACTATTATTGAGCAGTGAACACAAAAAATGAATTTTGCTTTTGTTCATTTTGTGTCCAGCTTTGCTTTGTGGTGTTTTGGACTCCTGGTTTATCAGAGAAGATCCTGATTGATGTCATTGGAGTGGATAAATCCTTTGCTGATCTGTGTGTGGTCCCGCTCCGAATTTTTTCCTTTTTTCCCGTGCCAGGTAAGACACTATTAGTTTTTTAGCATCAGTGTCCAGCTGCTTTTCCTGCTGCTGAGGCTCTATCCCGGGAGTAGCTCAGACCAGTGGGATGATTTTTCCACTTTTTGTGTTTGCAGTGACTGTTCGGGCTCATTTGACTGGATGGCTCATGACCCTGAAAAAGACCTTTGTGCTGGCCCCCAGCTCAGTTCTCCGCATCATTGTCCTCATCACCAGTCTGGTTGTGCTGCCTTATATGGGGTAAGTCAACACTTCAGAGAACAGTGTCAGGGTCACAAAGGTCAGCACCGTGACTCAGGCTTCCTCATAATGTGAGCTATTCTGGTCAAATCTGTCTGTTTTTTTAATTCCTGGAAAGACGGATCGGAAAGGATGATTCACTTCCACACTTCTAATATAATCCTTCAGTATAATCCTTTGTGTTTCAGGGTCCATGGGGCCACACTCGGGGTTGGATCCCTCCTGGCCGGCTTCATAGGAGAGTCGACAATGGTTGCCATAGCAGCGTGCTATGTTTATCGACAACAGGTGAGAACATCTGGGTTTAGGTCATTTCAAGCGTGAGAGTACACACCTTTTTCCGTGCTTTTGCAAATCCAATCAGCAACCATTTTTAACCACGCGTGTCTTTCACCTATCATAACAGTGTTTAGAGTGAGTCAGACTCACCAGTTCTCCTTTTCTCAGCGACGTTTAAGGATTTTGTGGTTTTTATTTCCACCGTCTCTGCAGAAAAACAGTGAGATGTCCCATGATCTGGTGGTGGAGGGCGAGGACTCCGCCCCTATGAGCGAGGTGTGCTCCAGGACTCAGATGGACGCCATTGAGGAGCTCCAGGAGGAAGAGGAGGAGGAGGAACAGGAGTGAACTGCAACTGCAGGGGAAAGTAAAGCAGACCTCCATGTGGAATTTTGCTGAAGAGGAGACTTTCCAGTGTTACTGTATGGTTTGGTTTCAGAGGTTCTCCCGACAGACTTTGAAGAAGGGTGACAAGGTCTTCTTCGCGTCGACCTGCACACCATTAACGCACACTGTAAAGAAAGCCATGCACCTCAAAGTGATCATTCATCAGTGTAAATACCGTTACGTCTTCCCCCCTTTTTTCCTCCGTTGTCATAGTTTTGCATCGTCACATCAGGCGCTGTATTCACCACTTGTGTTTACTGGCAAACAAGGGAAAACGACACACGAGAACTGTTCCTCGTCAGCAACAAGAATGAAACGTCTGAGTGGTAGTGGAGTTGCCAAAATACTGAGTTCATTATTTTACGTTATTTTATCAAGATTAAGCGACAAAAGCGTTGCTTGAAATCAAATAGACATATCGTGGGACTTGTTGGGTTGTGCAATCGTATTTTACATACACCGGTGTACAGATTGTTGTTTTATATAGGTAATGCAATGTGTATATTTAAATGCCCAGAGGGGTCAGGAATCCCTCCTTATATCATTGCGTGTGTTACAGAAAACAGTTATGATTGTTCACTTTCCATGCAGTCTGGGAGTCCATCTACTTTTGTTCTGCCAAGCATTTCCCCTGGTAGTTTCTGTCGTACGTACTGTATATACTGTATAGGCATTCTTATTTGGCAAATAAATTGCTTTATTATTAACCTTTGCTTTGTTGACATCTGCTTTAAATCCTTTTGTGTGGTACTTCAGACACCACTGCTGGATGTGTAAAAGTTAGTAATTGCAAAGTGTATCCATTTTCACATTTGTATAAAAGTTTAAGTGGTAAGCCTTTCCTTTGACACAGTTGAAAAAATACTGAAATAACCATAAATCATGTTATATGGGCTATGTATCCCTAAAAGGTAATGAACAAACGGATGCCATTACCTGTAACACCTATATAGCGTTTTGGGAGGGGTATTGCTGCTGAATAAGTAAAGCACAGTCCACACATCAGTTTTAGAGCATAGGAAAATTCATTGTATTCAACCATGATATACAGAAAGAGTCTGAGACCCCAAACAGACTTAATGTTATTTTCTGTATGGTACTTCTTAGACTTATTCAAATTTCTCACAAAATTAGGCAAGGCTTCAACAAGCTGATTAAATCATAAGGAGAAAAAAATAATTTTACAAAAATGGTACTTTAGTTTAATCTAAATGCCATCCAGAAACAGAGAAAACATTCCTGCAAAATGGCATAATCGATGTTTACTGCAAACAGATCAACTTCACCTGCTTTGGAATAAGGGCGAGAAAATGGCCTCTTATCAGTAATAACCAACATTCATTCTTATTGTGCATTATTCCTAAGGCAACATGGCGGACCAAGCGAGCTTCAAACTGAATCCAGTGGCTGGTGGGTGGGACTGTTGCCAGTATTTGCAGCAACTTTGGCAAGTTTTTCCCTTCAGAACAGCTTGGTTAAAAGGCAACATGTTACACATTTAGTTTGACACACACACACACGCATAGTTGCACGCACACACACACACACACACACACACACACACACACACACACACACACGCGCAGTAAGGCACAAGTGTAGCACTGTGGAAAAATGAAAGCCTGGTGACCGCACAACAGACACCACACACACACACACACACACACACACACACACACACACACACACACACACACACACACACACACACACACACACACACACACACACACACACACACACACACACACACACACACACACACACACACACACACACACCTCTGACGCAGAGGTCGTGATAAATATTCCTATAAATCCACCAGTCGGGTGTGAGCTGTTGTTAAACCTGATAAGTCATCAAACGCTCTTATACTAATACACTCATTTCACTTAGTACAAAATGGAAAAATAATAAATTAATATGCAACGTAAAGTGCCCAAATTCCAGTGTGAACCCCATCCATTTCATCTTTTGGCGCTGTTGGCAGCTCTGTTGGTCAGCTCTGTTGTCAGCTCTGTTGTCAGCTCTGTTGTCAGCTCTGTTGTGTTTTGATCACAATTTAACAGAGAAAAAAAAATGTAAAACTAAACATGGGCTTTTTTTTTTACCCCCCCACCTCAAAATGACACCCTCCAAACTAATTTGGATCTCACTGAGATGATCTTGTAGAATCAGATGCACAGATATATACACATACTCAAATAGAAAACTCTGTATACAGTACAGTGTGTACAAAAATGTGTAAACCACATCTTGCACAGGGTCTCAAATCAGCATATCTTTGTTTAAAGGAATAAAGCGACATTTTGGGGGAAAAAACACATGCTTTTCTGCTGCCAGTTAAATATACAGATTGATACCACTCTTAAGTCTGCATGTCTAATATGAAACAACAACAGGCTGCTAGTTAGCTTAGCACAAAGACTCTTCAGACAGAACCAGGATAGCTGTTTCCAACTGTTTGCAGTCTTTATGCTAAACTAATCTGCTGCTTGCTGTAGCTTCATACTCAACAGACATGACAGGAGTGGTATTGATCTGTCTAACTCTCAGCCAAAAAGCACATGTCCCAATATGTCAAACTATTTCTTTAATTGGCGTAAATGTAATAATCTGGATCGACCTGAGGAGTGCTTTGTTTATATGGCAGGAGATTTCTCTGCAGTGGCGATCAGCTCGAGTTGAGCGGCTCGTGTAGTTCTTCCGCAGCTTCTACAACTGGCACGTTGTAGTGGCGGTCGTCCTCGGTGACGAGGCACACGCGCGGCCAGTCGCCCTTATGGTCGTCTGGGTAGTAGGTGACAAACTCCTCCGTGTCGACCTTGTACAGTCTGTAAACTTGGATGGTGCACTGCAAGGCGTAGCCCAGCAGGAACATCTCCACCTGTCGGGGAGATAATAGCACGGTTGGAGTAAACAGCACAGATTTCTAAATGCATAATGTGTTTAATCAGCTGCTCGAGCACATGGTATTTATGGGTGGGGTTCCTTTATGCATGTTCCCTCTAAAAGCCTCAATCAAAACAGTGAAAATAACAATTAGATCACTCAGCAGCTTGTCTCTTCTGAAGCCTGCTCACCCCCGGGGTTGATGGGAAAGCACCAGTGCCAGCATGTTTTACTGCTCAGGTCTACAGTACACACCCGTTCTCGTGACATTTAATACGAGTTGTTTTGCATGACAGCGGTTTATTCAGCCGACATGTATTGCTTCATTCAAACAAAAAAAGAAATCGCAGTTTGCAAACCATAAAAAGGATCATGCAAATGCTCCATAACTGGCAGGAAACTACTGTATGCAGCCAGTAAAACAGGTCTTTAAATGTCTCGTTGAAGTGGGTCTGCGGTTGGCTGGTCAACAAATAAAAAAAAGCGGATTCTTCCTACCTGCTCCAGCCCGGCACTGAAGCCCACGTGTCCGAGGTGGTTGCAGAGGAAGGAGCGGGGGCAGTCGGAGGAGTCGCGGGCGAACAGCAGCCAGCAGAAGAGGGGGACTTCCCCCCCGCCCTGCATGCAGCGGTGCAGCTCCACCGCCTGGCCCAGCATCAGCAGCTTCAGCGCCTCCATCAGCCCCAGCTCCTCTTCTCCGCCCTGAAATACCCGCTCGCAGAGCTGCTGCCGCTCCACAGCAGAGGGGCAGTCCAAGGCTGCCTGCCACTGGGGACACATGGATGACATTCAATCAAAAATAATTCATATTTGTAGTCATTTCTCAAGTGCAAATGGCCAAATATATCTGCTAAATATAGCTTTACTACATACCGTGCAGAGTTTCTATTTAAACCCTTTTCCTCAGACAAAGTATGACCCCAAAAACCACCAAAAAAAACAGTTTCATCATACTTCTATTAAAGTTCCATTATACATATACAGTGGGGCAAAAAAGTATTTAGTCAGCCACCAATTGTGCAAGTTCTCCCACTTAAAAAGATGAGAGGCCTGTCAATTTCGTCATAGTCATAGTCACTCATCAACTATGGGAGACGAATGAGAAAAAAAAAAATCCAGAAAATCAACATGTTCTGATTTTTAAGACTTTATTGCCAAATTATGGTGGAAAATAAGTATTGTCCAATAACAAAAGTTCATCTCACATACTTTTGGTTATATACCCTTTGTTGGCAATGAACAGAGGTCAAACGTTTTCTGTAGTCTTCACAATGTTTTCACACACTGGTTGGCTGGGTATTTTTGGCCATTCCTCCATGCAGTCTTCCCTCTAGAGGCAGTGTGTTTTGGGGCTGTCGCTGGGCAACAGCGACTTTTCAACTCCCTCCAGATTTTCTATGGGGTTTGGAGATCTGAGAGACTGGCTAGGCCTCCAGGACCTTGAAATGCTTCTTACGAGCCGCACTCCTTCGTTGCCCGGGCGGTGTTGGTTGTGGGATCACTTGTCATGCTGAAAGACCCAGCCAAGTTCATTCTTCAATGCCCCTTCGCCTGCATGGAAGGTGGTTGTCACCAAAATCTCACGATACATGGCCCATTCATTCTTCCTTTACAACGGATCAGTCGTCCTGGTCCCCTTCTGCCAAAAACAGCCCCCCAAAGCATGATGTTTCCACTCCCATTGTTTCCACAAGCAGGTATGTTGTCTTTGGATGCACTCGCCATTCTTTCTCACTCCCACACGATACTTTAGATTTTTACCAGTTACTTTATATGGATTTCATCCTGACCATATGACTCCCCATCCTCATCTGGTCATAACCTAAATGACACTTAGCAACTTCCGACGGGCCCCTGGCGCATGTACTGGCCTTAAGCAGGGGAACACGTTGGCACTGCCAGGGACTTGAGTCCCCCTGGCGCAGTAGTGTGTTACTCGATTGGTAGCCTTGTTCTTGGGTCCAGCTCGCCGTCTGGCAGGTCAATTGACTAGGTCCCCCCGTGTGGTCTGGGATTTTTGCTCACCGTTCTTGTGATCATTTTGACCCCATGGGGTTGATGAAATCCTTCGTGGAGCCCCCAGATCCGAGGGAGAATTATCGTGGTCTTGTATGTCCTTTCCATTTTAATAATTGCTCCCACAGTTGATTTTCTTCACACCAAGCTGCTTACCTATTGCAGAATTCGTCTTCCCCAGTCCTGGGCAGGTCTACGATTTTGTTTTCTGGTGTCTCTTGGACGCTTCTTTGGTCTTGGCCCATAGTGGAGTCTTTGGAGTGTGACTGTTTGAGGTTGTTCGGACAGGTTCCTTTATACTGATAACGGGTTCAAACAGGTGCCATCTAATACAGTTAACAAGTGGAGGACAGGGAGGCTCTTAAAGAAGAAGCCAACAAAGGGTATATAACAAAGTATTGAGATGAACTTTTGTTATTAACCAAATACTTATTTTACACCATAATTTGCAAATAAATTCTTTAAAAATCAGACAATGTGATTTTATGGATTTTTTCTTTTCCTACTGTCTCTCATAGTTGAGGTATACCTAGGATGAAAATTACAGGCCTCTCATCTTTTTAAGTGGGAGAACTTGCACAATTGGTGGCTGACTAAATACTTTTTTGCCCCACTGTACATTAGTGGACATAAATATTTGTGGAACCAGCCCAGACCAGAATTACACAACACACGGTCTATTCCCAGCGACTGTATGGAATCCAGACCCTCACACAGTTACTTCTCATGAAGCCTGACTTTTAAAACATGTGATAGTAATAGCTAGAATTCCTCACTAGCGAACAGTGGCAGCGCCTGACTATAAATTAAGTTAGGGCCTCATATGGTTACAGTCAGGAGGCACTGTGATTTGCGGTTAAAAGTTGAAACAGTTTCTTTGAGGCGGAGGGTCCAGTTAGTCTCCTAATTGTGACACTGAGAATGAGCAGAGCAGCATTTAGAAAGAGACTGTTCCATATGGTAGCAATTACATGTAAAAGCCCTGCGGACGAACACCAATACCCTCAGTGTTCACGTATGGCATAAAAATAGTGCAGTGGTTATTCTGTGCATATTTTCAGTATTCACTCCGTACCTTATCCCTCAGAAGCTCCATGTAGCCTTTTAGCTGCAGGGTAGCATCTCCCGTCCCATCTCCCTGCAGGCAGTCTCCGGGAAATGTCCACTGGCTTATCAGACCTTCCTGGGTCTCAAGGCGCTTCGGCAGCTGTAATTAAAATGCCGAGATGAGATTTCAGAGATGAGTATGTTAGCCTGGCAGCCACACACTGGGAGCCTGATCTCACATATTTTGACGCTATAACAAGGCTGTTTTTACATGATTTCTACCTGGGACATTTACCCTTTTTCTCCGTCTTCTAACACAATAAAGCTATAAAACATTTGGACATCTGGGGCAAAGGTGATATTTACAAAATGCTGTTGTGAGCTAAATGCGCTGATAATTCAGAGCCACCAACCGTTACTGTGCAAACACAAATAGCCCGAGGCCCACAGCATACGTTGAGGTCACAGCACTAACGGATAAGAATAATGCAGCTTTTGTCTCTGAACCAGCTGTTTGAGGTGTGTAAAAGCTGCTTAACTGTTTCTACAATCTCATTCTACTCATTCTGACAGAATCAAAACATTGTAGCGCTCTAATAGTGCTACGTTTTTATGAGTTCTCTGATGAACACATATATAGTTATCTAGGAAACTAAGGCTTATATCACTGGCTGGTATTTGGAGCTTCTGAACATGACAATATATCCTAGCAGTAACATGCATATGAGACGTTTAGGGAACATTGGTAAGTTGTAGCATCTGCCAATAATCTTTGAAAGTGGTGCACAAAAGTCTCGTGACCAATTATATAGGGGTGGCTTAGCCTTCTCTAGCTTTAATTACCTATCGCCCTGAAGACTGTCCAACCTGCTGTGCTTGTTACGGCCGTTCCAGGACATGTCTGTTTAACCTGTTAAGCCCCAGCCTGTTTTTCAGGTTTCGAAAATGACATTCAGAACAAATGACTATAACTTCACGTAGAAAAGTAGATGTAGAAAAGTCAGAATCAATAAAGATTTTTTTTATTTTAAAGTAAATTCAGATTGAACACAGTAAAAACAATTAAATTATAGTGTCCGTCCAAAAAAATAAAATTACTTATAGTGAAAACCACCCTTGAATGATGGGATGGTAGAATAAAAGCTTTAGGAATCCAAACTATAACATATAATAAGTACCCTGTATCAAGATTGATGCAAAACAAGTGAAATTTTGACCTTTTTAGAGAGATTTAGCACACAAAAAACAGTTCTGGGGTCATTTGGTGGATTTGACCTTACTCTGGCCCCCCTTGGTCGATTTTGATGATTGACATCTCTTTTTAACAGCTAGAGCTAATGGAATCGAGGGGAGGTTCCACATACACACACACGTTACCAAATAGAGTGGCGAAGTCCATCCCCTTCCGGTGGACCTCCATGGGACCTTATTTCGGAAAAAATATGTATTGAAGTCAATGGAGAGAGAAAG